CCCACAGAGAGGCTGGTAGGTCCGAACCGCTGGCCTTTTTGTTACCAGTCAAGCGCTTAACTACTGCACCACCAAACCAAAAAAAAAAAAACAAACCCGTTTCTGTTGAATCAATTCAGACTATAGCGAACCTATAGGACACAGCAGAAGTGCTCCATAGAGTTTCCAAGGGGCGCCTGGTGGATTCGAACTGCCAACCTTTTGGTTAGCAGCCGCAGCTCTTAACCACTACGCCACCAGGGTTTCCACTGCACCGCACCAGGGCTCCTTATACATCCATACAATGTAGTATTATCAAGCGATAAATAGAAATGAGTTAATAAGCCACTAAAACACAAATGCATACTGCTAAGTGAAAAAAGTCAGTCTGAAAAAGCTGCATACTGTATGATTCCAATTTTATGACATTCTATATGAGGCAAAATATAGACAGAGAAAATAACAAGATGAGTGGAGCATATGGCATTTTTAGAGCAATGAAACTATTCTGTATGATGCTGTAGTGGTGGACACATGACATTATGCATTGCAATAACCCAAAGGACTCTACAATGCAGAGAGTGAACCCTAACACAAACTATGGACTTTAGTTAATAATAATGTAGCAATACTGGTTCAGCAACTGTAACAAATGTACCACGGGAACATAAGATGTTAACAGGAGAAACAGTGTGCAAGGGAGAAGGGTGTAGGCGAAAGCTCTGTACTTTCTGTACAATTTTTCTATAAACCTAAAACTGCTCTAAAAAATAGTCTATTTAAAAAATATATATGACTCTTATTTTTGGCAGGAGGATTCTTCACAACCTTGTTGCCAGCATAGTACCAATTCAAAACCAAACCAAATGCGTTGTTGCCAAGTTGATTCCGACTCATGGCGACCCTATTGATCAGAGGAGAACTGTCCCACAGGGTTTCCAAGAAGCGGCTGGCGGATTTGAACGGCCTACCTTTTGGTTAGCAGCCAAGCTCTTAACCACTGCGCCACCAGGGATTCTCCCAATTCAAGGTGTCTTTATTTTTTCCCTTATAGTTAGGAATATCATGTTTGCAATATCTTCTGAGGTTGATCAATACAGGGAAATAAGGACACATGGTATCTCAGTCTTGTGGGTTCGCCTGGAGGTACCCCGATACCTGATGCTCTGAGGCCTACAACAGTGAAGGTGTCTACTCACCTTGTCAACTCCTGTCTTGTGGCCCCAGTGCTCACACCCTAGCCCCAAATCCTCGTATCTCCAACTTGCTCCAAAAAACTCTGGGGCCTGCTGAGGCTGAGCACCTGAAGACTGGCTAAGGGAGGAGCAAATGCTTATTCTAGAGGAAAGACTCCGAGGGGATAAGGAAGGTTTTCAGAACTGAAATGTTATCATAAAACACAAGAAATAAACCTGTTTTATGGCTTCAAAAGGTAAGGCAATGACCAATATGTAAAGGCTGCAGAAACACAGATTTTGTCTTAAAATAATGGAACCATTTTTTAATGATAACAATCCAAAGACAGAATGGGCTATTTCAGAAGACAATGAGCTCTCCATCACTGATTACGTGCCATAGTTTAAGAAGTCTGAGAGCACGTAGTTGTTTTGTTTTTTTTTTAAAGGAAGGGGGAAGGCATAAATTAATTGGTAAAAGGAAATTGAAGTCTATCAGTGAGGCAAAGAATACAAAAGTTTTCCTCCAGTCTCTACCCTGTTTCCCTTTGAAATGTTCTTGACTGACATATATCTGTTTATTAAACTCGACAGGGAAAACCCCAGAGCATGTTTAGGATGAGAGCTCACACCCGAGTGAGCTCAAGGACCCCCGAGAGGGTGCACACCAAAGTGAAAACCATCACGGGGCTAAGTGACCAATATGATCTCACATCAGCATTCTGCCAGGTGATACAGCCCAAGGTACGGGTGGACACCTGCAGGGTTTGTCCTGGGAAAGTTCTTCCTCTAATTTTGAAACCATTCCTAAGACTTTAAAAAAGTACCTACTGCTCTCACAAAACTGACTTACCCCTCAACATCCCTGTCTCCTAATATATGGCTGAATGACTACCTTGGGGTAATGGGTGGATGTGGAGGAGATTTCCCGAGGGTAGCTGGTTAAATCAGGTGACATTTAAGGTATCTACTCATCTTGATTTGCAGGATTCTTAGTTATCTCAGGTGCTATCATGGGGAGATATACTGAGTTTCTTTGAACTACTGATGTTACTGATGTTCCCACAAGAGACCAATTCCTCCAGGGAAGAGGGTAGGTGAAAAAACGTTCTTCGACCTTCCTGAGATAGATTTCATCATTTCTGGAAATCAGATGTAGATGAATATAGGAGAAAAGACTCTAGGTTAATGCAGAATCCCTTAGAACCCCCTTAAACAATTAGACCTAATAGGAGGTATGACAGATTGTATTTTCCATAAATGACCTATTCCACATGCTCTTCTTATGATGTGACATTGACAGTCCTCCATTAACAGATGGGTGTCTGTGCACCCTCTCCTTGAATATGAGCCAGCCTTACTGACTTGCTTTTAACAAACAGAACAGAGTGGAAGTAAGTGACTTTGGAGCCCTGGTGGCACAGTGGTTAAGAGCTACAGCTGCTAACCAAAAAGTCAGCAGTTCAAATCCACTACTGCTCCTTGGAAACCCTATCAGGCAGTTCTACTCTGTTATACAGGGTTGCTATGAGTAGAAATTGACTTGACAGTACTGGATAAGTGACTTTGTACGACTTTCAAGACTAGGTCATAAAAGTCAATATAGCTTCCACCTGGCTCTCTTTCTCGCTGGATGCTCTCCCTTGGAACCCAGCCAGCATGTTGTAAGGAAGCCCAGGCCACACACAGGTGTTCCAGCCAAGTGCCAGCAATAACTGCCAGACATGTGAGTGAACCAGCCTCCAGATGATTCTGTCCTAGGTGATGCCAAGTGGAGCAGAAATGAGGTACCCCACCAAGCTCTGCCCAAACTGCAGATTCAGCAAAATAAATGGGATTGTTGTTTTAAACCATTATGTACGTTTTGGGTAATCTTTCACCATCTATAGTAAGTGGAACAGAAGGTGACCTTACCTAGTAGCATAGTTCCTATATTATCCATAACCCGGAACAGGATTCCCAGGCTCTTTCTATTCCAAGCCTTCCCTCCAAGATCATGTCCGGGAGCTCTACTGCTTTACCAGGAGTATGTGATCAGGGGTTCCCATGGCAACTCTGCACCCCTAAGTAAGCTCTTCTGATTGGGGTTTCCCTAGAATATGCCCAGCTGTGTCTTTTACACTGGAGCTTACTTGTAAGGCACATGCAGTCTTCATTAGCTCATTTGTCCACTCTTTCCTTTGTTAGAATTAAAGTGATGTTCATTTTAAACAAGTCTAAGTAGCTGAAGAAACAGAATAATCTGTTCTAGTTCATTTCCCTCATAAACAGTACTCCCAATACCGAGTGGCATTCTGTTTTATCGAAGTCTTCATCTCTGTTACTAAAAGTTGGGTCTACACTCTGACAACAAAACTCACAAATTAAAGCAAGGGAACACAGCAACAATTTCAGCCTATATTATAAATAAAAACTAAATAGAACAGGCTTTTGGTAATTTTGGCCATTATAAAAGCTTTTCAGTATTTGCACCTGCATATCCATGGCAAAAATTACAAGACAATAAAAGTCAGCCGGTTCCAACAATATGACATTCTGCAAAAAGCAAAACTATAGAGACAGTAAAAAAGATCAGGGGTTCAGGGGCAGGGAGGGAGGGAGGAATAAACGAAGCACAGGGCATGTTTAGGGCAGTGCAACTATTCAATGATACCGTAATTGTGGGCACATGACTTTATGCAGTATTTGTCAAAATCCATAGAATTGTACAACACAAAGAGTAAACCCTAATGTAAACTACGGACTTCAGTGAATAATAATGCAGCAATATTGGCTCATCCATTGTAACAAATGTACCACATAAATGCAAGATATTAATAACTGGGGAAAGCGTGTGCGGGGGGAAGAGGAGGCATATGTGAACTCTCTGTATTTCTTTGCACAATTTTTTTTGTAAATCTAAAACTATTCTGGAGTCCCTGGGTGGTGCAGATGCTTAAGCACTAGACTACTAGCTGAAAGG